AATCTGACCGATAAAAATGCAATCTTTAATTCCATTGGTTGTTTATCTGAATATAAATAAACCGGGCCTAATAAATATAAAAATCGAACAAACAAAATACGAAATTTTCGTTTGTTTGCATACTTTTGCATTAGCAAATTTATTTATGATCTCCTCATTGTGACAATATCTGAGTTATAACATTTTCAATGGACAGCAGGGCTAGATCTGAATGTTTCTCTTCTGCTAGAGTTGACCGCTAAGGTAAGTTTTAATTAACTTAAGCTTACTAAAGCTCCGTTCATCTTTCGGCACTGTAACAGGAATGGCAACAAAAATACGGAGAGCTGTCCAGATATAAGGAAACATATCTTGCCAATTATTAAGGGCCAAATTTATAGACGCTCCTTGAGGTTTCCTCAGACCTTAAGGGAGCCTTGAACGTTTAGTATTGACATGACTAACTGACAAATAGTAACAACTGTCCATTCTAAACTCACGACCTCCAAGGAAGAGTCAAGGAACGACTAAAAATTCGGCCCTAAATGCTAACGCCTGAAGGACTGCTTTCGGGTGACTGTTATCACTATCCGAAATATCGTGATCAAATGATCGGGTAAGGGCGCCACCACACCCACGATCCGTGCGCGTTTCAAAACAACGTCAGGACAGGTTATTCTCATACTAAGTAAGCACAAGCTTGCTCACAAGCAGAGAAGCGAAATATCGAAAAGCAGAGACAGAATTCAAAGCGAAAATATACTTTTCCCTTTTTTTTTATTACCCAACGAACGAGTCGAAGGCGCCCCCGATGTCTGGCGCCTGGAGCGCTCGCTCAGTTCGCCTTATGGTAGGGCCGGCCCTGCGTAATTTTATAATTCTCCTAATTTTTTTCAAATTTAATTTTCGCTATTTACCTATGATTTTCGCAGTTCTAGATAATTTTTGAAATTCCCGTGATTTTTGTAATCCTCGTGATTTTTGTAATTTTTTCGTAATTTCCGTAATTTGCTAATAGAGAGATATCGGTAACCCAAATAGGTTCATGCAGTATTAGGGACCTTTTGCACCGCTTATTTCGCTACAATTTTACTTTATCGCTTATTTGGCGCGTGCGCAGTTGATGGGAAATAGCGTTTTGCCTTATTAAGCGATTAAGTTCAACGTTACCTACGGCTGATTTGCGGTCCCGTTAGCAACGTTTAAAGTCTAGACGATGTTGCCGGTAGTAAAATGCTAAGTTTCTAAAATGCGAACTTTTCATGGTTTTCATCTACAAAAATATATGTTTTCTTTTATTTAATTGTATTAAAAATGTTTGCTTTTGACTATTATTGTTTTGACTACATTATTTTAGTCTAGTCTGATGAGTTCCAAATGCATTGACAACACCGATTGGGATTGGGTTTGGTGGTTCGTTTAAAAAAATATCCCGCAACACAATACCCCTTATTATATTATGATCAACCCCAAGGTGCCTCCGGCGTCTCAAATAAGCGTCTAGTACATTTTCCATTGCAACAAAAAACTTTTACAGAAAACAACAAACAACAAGATTTATAACCTAACTTTTTAACGTATTGTCAACACACCAAACGGTGCAAAAACTGAAAATATAACGTTCATAATAGCGTAATAAAAATGACGTCTTCGTCCGTTATTAACCAATAAAGTGGCATAAGGGCGAATTTTCATAACAGGTGCAAAAGGTCCCTATTAGCGCCTACGTTATTTTGACATTAAACCTATGCGTGATTCGATTTTTAACACTACGTACTGAAATAACGTTACCGCATAACGTAATTTACCCAGCATTTACGTTAAGCGCTATTTCGAATAACGTTTAAAAATAACGCCGTGGAATAATAGGTTATGTTATGTTTATTGTTTATTTTATTATTTTTGATGTGCTCAAGTGAATATGGATTGTTCAAAAAATAGTAAAAAAGCAAATCCTCTGTCCCTGACTATGAACAACAGACAACACAAATCAAATCACAACAAGGTACAAGTTAGGCTACGGTTATAAAATAACGAATGCGAATAGGGAAATTTTACGTTAAACTGTTTTCCGATAACTCTAATTTGAAAGTATGATACCGCTTTACTTTAAAAAAATAACTCCTGACGTTATTACCGTCCATACGCGCTATCTGTTTCACCGATATCTCTCTAGTGATATTTGCAATTTCACGTAGTTTTTGAAATTCCCGTAATTTTTTAAAATAATTTACATTGCATAAGTATTTCCATTCCCGGTTTTTTTCGTAATTTTGCAATTCTCATTTTAATTTTTCAATAATTGTAAGTGCTGTAATTTTTTTAAATTTTCATGATATTTGCAATTTTAATGATTTATGTTATTTTTTTGTAGTTTCCGTATTTTATGTAATTTTTCAATTACTTTTGTAATTTTGCATAATTTTTGAATTTCCAGTATTTTTCAATTTTTTTTTATTTTCATTGCTTTTGTGATACCCGATTTTTTTGTAATTTTTTAATTTTCCTCTTAATTTTTTAATAATTAATGTATTTCCCGTGATTTTTGCAATTTTTCCGATTTTTTTCATTTTTTCGCGATCCCTGTAATTTTTGAAATTTCTATAATTTTTTAATTTATTTTTATTAATTCTATATTCTCCGTATTCCTGTATTTTCCGTAATTTTTTAATGGAATTTTCATAATTTTCCTAATTTTTGTGATTTCCGTAATTTGTTCACAAATTCAGTAATTTTTTGATTTTTTTCGTAGTTTCTAATATTTTTCAATTTTTGTAATTGTTTAATAAATTATTTTCGTAATTTTTTAATTCTTTTAATTTTTATAATTCTCATAATTTTTTAAAAATCTAGTAACTTTTTGTAGTTTTGAAATTTTTGTGATTTCTGCTAATTTCAATTTTTGTAATTTTCGTAAAATTTTCCGAAATTTTTGCAGTTCTTATATTTTTTAAATTATCAATTCATAGGAATTATATACATAATTCAAAATTTCAAAAAATATTCTGAAATTACAAAAAAATAGGGGAATTACAGGAATTATTCCAAAAATGCAGGAATTACTCAAAATTATTCAAAACTACAGGAATTATTTGTAAATTACGGAAATTTTCTCAATATTACAGAAAATTACAGAATTTACGAAAAATGGAAATTATGAAAAATTACGTGAATAACGAAAAATTACGAGAATTATGGACATTACGAAAAACTATGAAAATTACAGAAATTATTGCAAACATTTTAAAATTTTCAAATGAAAAATCACTCCATAAAAAATTCTGGAAAATTAACTTATTTAAGCAAAATTAAAGAAAATTCACTTCTTACATTTTAAATTTTTTCTGAAAAACTGGCAGAGGGAAAATTTTGAAAATTTTCCAAGAAAAAAAAGGAAAGTGAGGAGCTCATTATAGGAAAATTTCGAAATTTTTCAGTGAGAAATCACTCTAGGGAAAATTCTGGAAAATTGACTTTTTCAAATAAAATTAAGGAAAATTCATCCTCTCACATTTCAATTGTTTCCTGGAAAATTGGCAAAAGAGGAAAAAGAGGAAAGTCAGGAGCTCATTATAAGAAAATTCCAAAATTTTCCAATGGAAAATCGTTCCAGGAAAAATTCAGAAAAAATTTTTTCAAGTAAAATTAAGAAAAACTCATCCTCTCACATTTTAATTTATTTCTGGAAAACTAATAAAGCAAAACTTGTGAAATTTTTTCAGAAAAAAAAAAGAAAATGAGGAGTTCATTATAGGAAATTTTCAAAATTTTCTAGTGAAAAATTACTGTGAGGAAAGTCGATAGCAAAGTTCTGGAAAATTGACTTTTCTAAGCAAAATTCATCCTTTCACATTTAATTTTTTTTTTTTAGAAAATTGCTAAGGGGAAAATTTTGAAAATTTTCCAGGATAAAGAGAAAAGTGAGGAGCTTATTATAGGGAAATTTCGAAATTTTCCCAATGAAAAATCACTCCAGGAAAAATTCAAAGAAAATTGACTTATTTAGGCAAAATTAAGGAAAAATTATTGAGGTAGAATAAATAAGGAGGCGACATAAGGAGAAAAAAGCGTATCTATCCCACTTCCGCCATATTGTTACGATACTTCTGTCTGAAATTCTGTCACTTTTGTCATAGCAACGCGTCAAAATTGCATCAGGGACGCATTTTCCATCCGAAAAATTTTTAAATGCGAAAAATTTCTGAAGCCTAGAATTCCTATTTTGGGTCTTGGAAGGATCTCCTGTTTCAGTATGTTGAAGTAGCTACTTTTTTTTTCTTGGTGTAAACTCGATTTTTTTACGTTTTTTTTTTTGCAGTTTCGCTATGGAGCTCACGGGCCCCTCTCGGGCCCGGGCCTGCACACATGGTACACCGGTAGATACGCTACTGCAGTGCAGATATGAAAATAAACTAAAAAAAAGAAGCAATAGCGGAAAAAAACCAAACCAAAAATTCAATTTTGCGTAACCCAAAGTCGGCTTTTTAATTTGAAAAGATTTATTATGCTTTTCAGCGGACAATCCATCGTTATTTGATCCCTACAGAAGCCGGAGAGGGCGCCTAGAGTATGCAAAGTGTATGCAAATTCGGCCACGCAAGGCAACACTTGACGCCTTAATTATTGAGCAATAAATAACTTAGCGAAGTTAATACCGGGGAAAAGACCCTGATCCGGACCTAATCCGGGAACGGTTCAGCTTATCCGGTCTCATTATGCTGCACGGCGGGATTCTAGATATTGTTTTCTTGGATTACCTGGCCCGTAAATGCGCTTATTACGCATACGTAATACGTAATGAACTTTTGCACACAAAAAGGAGTTGAAAAATTTACTCTTGGGAAAACTATACGATAAAATCTTATCCCAGCGGCTATTTTCCCAGAAAATGAGTCGAATTGGAAACGATCGCATTTACGGAAAGAATTGACTTTCAAATACTAGATAAGAATTCTCTTGCCGGACTCTGGAACCCCTTATCGACTGCTTAATGTATTGCAAGGGGAAGGAAAAGCTTAGGCGCCAATTATAATAGAAAATCGCCCCAAACAGATTGAATTAAATTACAGGTTATTTATTTTAACTAAAGAAATTATTTTCCAAACGGTTTCCAGGAAATATTGTCTAATCCGTGAAACGACTTTTTCAAACTACCACCGTCGGCCCATTTGGAGTTCAAATACGCATCGTCTTCATCTTCAGCCAACTTTTTTAGCTCCTCTTGTCTTCTGTAAGCATGCAACATCAACTGCTTCCTTTGATCTTCTGACATTATGGGTTCTCTACCTGGTGCACCTTCGCCGCGTTTTGATAATTTTATTATTACCTAGAAAAGCGAGTTTAGTTGTTTCTTCCTCAGTTTTAATTTATAAAACCTTTACTTTGCAATTCTCAATTTTCCCTACATAATCTCCCAACTTTTTCTTATCATCTCTGTACATTTCTTTGCCGCAAAACCACACCTGAGCAGTACCAGGATCGATGACATCCAACGAAGCCTGGGTACCAGTCAGGTCTTCGATATTTTCAAATTCCATACGAATAATATCATGAGGAGGTAATTTCATGGGGTAAACAATTGTTACTGCGCCTTTGAGTATGTTCAAGGTTTCTTGGACGATTTTCATTGTTAAGCATTTGCCTTGTAGGACGAGATTTTTGTCAATCATCGCCTTGGCTTCTTTTACAGCATTGTTCAAGACGTCTTGCATTTGCTTTCGGGGTTGTTTCCCGTTTCTGCGTCCTACTGAGTCTTTGTTGATGGTGAAACCTCCGCTTGGGACGCATTTTTCACCCCAATCGTCTTTCAGTTTGAGTTCTTCGACTTGGTCTTCCGTTAAGCCCATAATTTCTAAAATGGGAACGTTGAATTTGGAGTTTTTACATAATTGTTTGTTATTACCTGGAGGCAAAAGGGTTCCGTGTTTGGCCAATTCCTCGATTTCCATGCAAACTCTGTCGATTTTCAGTCGTCCATTGTAAATTGCGCAGATTCCTTTTACCAAATCGTCCACTGGAGTGGCCAGGGGTGCTTCGCACAAAAATTGGCTGGTGTCTTTGTGTTTTACGTGAACAATAACCATTTTAGCTCAAGAAAATATTATTAAAATCTATGACAGAGGAAAACAATTATTTTGAGGTTTGTTTAGTCAATAGTTGATGGGAGTGGTTGCTATGATTATTCAAGTTGTTCTATAACAACAGGTTTGTTCTATTTTAACATGATTGGGTGATTTGTGTCACATGACAAGAAATAATAAAATTTAACTGGCTGTAAGAACAGTCAAAAAAGTTTCACGGAAATCACAAACCAGCGTTTTTGACTAGAAAACTGTTTTGACAGGTGTATGGTTTCTGGTGAGAACAAATTTCTTCATAAAGTATGCAATAATAATATATACCTACTTATGTATATTATTTTAGAGCTTACTGTTGATCTCTTACCATTGGCCATCCAAGGAAACTGTAGTCCCTTGAAAGGGATAAAATTCAGTGAAAGTTTCAGCTTTCTATCTATAATAGAAAAAAAGTTATGACTTTTCAAAGTTTTCCAAAATCTAAATCATAAGGTAGATAGATACCTTCTCACTGAAACGATGAAATTTCAATTTTTTTTTGTCAAGATTTTGTATCCTAATGGTCGATAAACATATCCCAAACTCCATATACTAAATTATTCTCAGATTTGAAGTCGAAATCTATGAAAAAAGGCACTCAGAAATATTGAAAAATTGATAAATCTCCCTAAATTGCTTAACACGATTTTATCTCAGGAACTATAAGTGCAAATAAGCTGAAATTTTCAGGGATTGTAGTCCCCTTATTGAGATAAGATTCAGTGAAAATTTCAGCTTTCTATCTTTAATAGAAAAAAAGTTATGACCTTTCAAAGTTTTCCAAAATCTAAATCATAAGGTTCTTACTAAAACGATGAAATTTCAATTTTTTTTTGTCGAGATTTTGTGTCCTAATGGTCGATCAACATACCCCAAACTCCATACACTGAATTATTCTCAGATTTGAAGCCGAAACCTTTGAAAAAACGCACTCAGAAAAATTGAAAAATTGATAAATCACCCCAAATTGCTTAACACAATTTTATCTCAGGAACTATAGATGCAAATGAGCTGAAATTTTCAGGGATTGTAGTCCTTTGAAAGGGATAAAATTCAGTGAAACTTTCAGCTTTTTATCTATAATAGGAAAAAAGTTATGACCTTTCAGTTTTCCAAAATCTAAATCATAAGGTAGGTACCTTCTTACTAAAACGATGAAATTTCAAACTTTTTTTTGTCGAGATTTTGTGTTCTAATGGTCGATCAACATACCCCAAACTCCATACACTTAATTATTCTCAGATTTGAAGCCGAAATCTATATGAAAAAAGGCACTCAGAAAAATTGAAAAATTGATAAATCACCCCAAATTGCTTAACACGATTTTATCTCAGGAACTATAAGTGCAAATGAGCTGAAATTTCAAAGGTAATGTTCCGCCTTTTTCTTTATGCTCAGATTCAAGTAAAAACTCTATCAAAAAACAAAGGGCATTATAGAATACCTTAGAACCAAAATGTCCAATATTTGAGTATTCTGAGCACTTTGGGGCACATTACAGGTCCTTGAAAAGCCTAATTTAGTGTATAAACTGAGTGCTCTTGAACTGAACGGCCGGCGTGCCCGAAGGGCTCGGCACCAATTTGCAAAGTCTCATAAAACTATGAATTTTCATTTTGAATTATAGATATTTTGAGCCCTTTGGGCCCACTCCATATAGTTTTTTGAGAAGATTGATTTTTGTCTATTTCAAAGTTAATGTTCCGCCTTTTCTTAATGCCCAGATTCAAGTAAAAACTCTATCAGATAACAAAGGGCACATTATAGAACACCTTAGAACCAAAATATCCATTATTTTTATTCTGAACACTTTGGGGCACATTAAAGGTCCTTGGAAAGCCTAATTAGTGTATACACTGCTGCTCTTGAATCTGTGGCGTGCCCGAAGGGCTCGGCACCAATTTGCGATTCAAAATCTCAAAAGTGTCTTTCCAAACTCTCATAAAACTATGAATTTCCAATTTGAATTGTAGGTATTTTGAGCCCATTCCATTATAGTTCTTTAAGAAGATTGAAAAGTATGAAACTCTGATTTTTGTCTATTTCAAAATTAATGTTCCGCCCTTTTCTCTATGCCCAGATTTAAGTAAAAACTCTCTCAGATAACAAAGGGCACATTATAGAACACCCTGAGGTAAAGTTCGAACCAACTAAGAAGAATACAAACGCGTTATCGTTTGTCTCACCCTGAAGAAAAGGTAATTTCTAATTTCCCTTTTTCGTCGTGATGACGTCAATTGCTTCTTATTCTTAGCCGGTTTTTTCTATAGTCACTTGCGATTTTCTAGGACAGAATATCTCGATCTGTGGAACTTCTTAGGATATTCTTGGATCTCCAGGCATATCTGGGATCTTCAGGCATATCCTTGCCTCCAAAGTTTTTGCATCTTCACGTATTTCCACTGGATATCAATGTATCTCCAGTGAATCTTCACCTATTCACCGATTTCCATCCCGTAGGACAGAAGATTTTTACAGTGACTATTCCCTCGATATATGTAGATTGAGCAGTATTATGACTTTTAGGGATTCATAAGGGAGATACCTTCTTAATAAAACGATGAAATTTTTTTTGTCGAAATTTTGTATCCCAATGGTCAATCAACATCCCCCAAACATAATACACTAAATTATTCTCAGATTTGAAGCCGAAATCTATGGAAAAAGGCACTCAGAAAAATTGAAAAGTTGATGAATCACGCCAAATTGCTTATCACGATTTTATCTCAAGAACTATAAGTGCAAATAACTTAAAATTCTCAGGGATTGTAGTCCTTTGAAAAGGATAAAATTCAGTGAAAGTTTCAGCTTTCTATCTATAATAGAAATATAGTTATGACCTTCCAAAGTTTTCCAAAATCTAAATCATAAGGTAGGTACCTTCAGGTACCTTCTTACTAAAACGATGAAATTTCAAAAAATTTTTTGTCGAAATTTTGTATCCCAATGGTCAATCAACATACCTCAAACTCCATACACTAAATTATTCTCAGATTTGAAGCCGAAATCTATGGAAAAAGGCACTCAGAAAAATTGAAAAATTGATGAATCACCCCAAATTGCTTATCACGATTTTATCTCAAGAACTATAAGTGCAAATAACTTAAAATTCTCAAGGATTGTAGTCCTTTGAAAAGGATAAAATTCAGTGAAAGTTTCAGCTTTCTATCTATAATAGAAATATAGTTATGACCTTCCAAAGTTTTCCAAAATCTAAATCATAAGGTAGGTACCTTCAGGTACCTTCTTATTAAAACGATGAAATTTCAATTTTTTATTTGTCGAGATTTTGTATCCTAATGGTCAATCAACATACCCCAAATTCTATACACTAAATTATTCTCAGATTTGAAGCCGAAATCTATGAAAAAAGACACTCAGAAAAATTAAAAAATTGATAAATCACCCCAAATTGCTTAACACGATTTTATCTCAGGAACTATAAGTGCAAATGAGCTGAAATTTCCAAGGATTGTAGTCCTTTGAAAGGGATAAAATTCAGTGAAAGTTTCAGCTTTCTATCTTTATTAGAGAAAAAGTTATGATCTTTCAAAGTATTCCAAAATCTAAATCATAAGGTAGGTACCTTCAGGTCCCTTCTCACTATAACGATAAAATTAAAAAAAAAAAAAAATGTCGTAAAATTTTGTACCCTAATGGTCAATCAACATACCCCAAACTCCATATACTAAATTATTCTCGGATTTGAAGCCAAAATCTATGAAAAAAGGCACTCAGAAAAATTGAAAAATTGATAAATCCCCCAAATTGCTTAACACGATTTCATCTCAGGAACTATAAGTGCAAATGAGCTGAAATTTTCAGGGATTGTAGGAAACTTTTCCAAGCCTCTTTATCTACTCCATTTTTTTTATCGTAACTCTCTCCTATTTTCTGGGGAATACAAAATATTCTATCCGGTAGAGAAATCGAAAAGGTTTCTTGGCAATTTTACGTAAAACACTTCCTAAAGGAGTTCCAGATGTAAATCTCTCCCCTTTTTACTGGGGATTCCCCAAAATTGGTAGTTGACTTTTTTTCGAATTTCTACAATACAAAATATTCTATTCGGTAAGGAAATCGAAAAGATACATTTTATTTATTTTTTTAAGAGAAGGTTTTTTGGTAATTTTGCGTAAAACACTTCCTAAAGGAGTTCCAGAAGAAAGACTCTCCTTTTTACTGGGGATTCCCCAAGATTTGACATTGACTTTTATCGAATTTCAACAATACAAACTATTCTATCTGGTAGAGAAATCGAAAGTAAACCGAAATGGTCCCTTGGTAATTTTACGTAAAATGCCTCCTAGAGAAGTTCCAGAAAAAAATATTTCCTTTTTACTAGGGATTCCCCAAAATTGAAGTTGAATTTTTTCGAATTTCAATAACACAAATTATTCTATCTAGTTTCTTGATCTTGAAAACGAAATTCATTATGCGTAAAAACTCATGAAAGACGAGAGAAAACGAGACGTTACTGCGCAGACTCTTTTTCTCGAACCTTCGAGATAAGACGAGAGAGAGCGTGTTCTCGTCTCGTCTCGCGGAATTACCGGTAGCAACATTTATGCTAGAAGTATCAATTTTTAGCCCATTTTGTTGGTATATTGATATCAGCCTTTTTCCAGTTTTCCCATTCTTATTCGTTCAAATTTTTCTACTACCTTGTTGCTTTTTCTTCTTGTTCTTCTGCTAGCAATAAAATTTCTGTTAAATTTCCTAAAACTTATCCATAGAATGCATCATCCATTCCCAACTCAAATGCATTTTCCATCATCACACTACAACAAAATAATAAATTAAATTCGCAAAATAAATCCCTCTCTAAAATAAATACAATGACTTTATTCCTTCCTTCCCTATATATGAAGGTACAGGGATGAGCATCCTGTCATCTAGTAAATCCCCGGGGAACAGTCGAAAGAGCGAGGCCCCATTTGACTTTTAGATGGACTCACGCTGCTAGGGCTAAGCCTTTTGGCCCCCGGTCGGGTCGGATATATAACTTTTCATGAGGAGTTTTGTGTTCGAAAGA